AAACCGGCGCGTGTTCACCGCCCTAGGCAACCGAGCCGAACACGAACACACTTTCTGAGCTCGAAACATAAAAAAGCCGAACAAAAGCTGAGTCTGGGCTCGCTCGCGTTCGACTCGTTTACACTCCTAGTGGCAGGCATTCAAATCTCATATTTTTTTAAATAACAAAAAAAAGTGCATACAAAAAAGCTAAAATCACACAAGCTGAAAATAAATGAAATAAGAAATTCTGCAATCTTTCACAAACCTATCATTCAAATTTACAAAACCAATCTCCAATCCAATCAACAACAACAACAACAACAACAAAACTCAAATACTATATACACAGATTTCTGAACCTCAGATAACAAAATACATACAACAAAATCATGCAAAAAAATCACTCTAATACAATTAAAAAAAATTATAAAAGTGCCCCTCAGTACAAATCTCCCATCCACCTGCTGCATTATAAGAGCTGGATTTTAACCCATGTAGCTTTCTTCCACTTCTGCTCCAAATTCTGATTTTCCTAAATACTCAGCAGATTAAGGAACAAAAAATACTTCAGAATTATCAAGCAAGTGAAGATGATTTCTCAGGATTGTCACTTTTGTCTGTATCAGAATTCTCCCTTTGGGATTCAGTTTCCCGTCTCCCTCCGCCGCCCGTCCGATGATGCCTCCGGTCCTGTAAATTAAACCGGCTTAGACCCGAGTCGAAAGTATTTACTTCCATAGCATCCAATTTCTATGTATTTATGTCTGGCTCCTAAATTTTGCTTTTTTTTTTTTTTTTACATTTATACCACACTCAAATCTTTCACATCACATTGAAAATATTATCATTTTAACTTTTAAAAATGAAATACAACTTTTCATGCATGTTATGCATGTAAAAACTGAAGTTTGGGTGTTAGATATGTATATACATTGGAATTGAGTGGGTTGCATGCAATTCTTCCATTAAAAAAAAGGAAAATGTACGAACATACCGTCCCCCCCTTCAATGCAGAACGTAAATAAATTTATGACAACAAAGTGTTATAAATGTAAATATCAAACATTATGTGTTAGATAGGTAAATACAAAGCAATTGTGTGGCATGTATGTAAATTTCAATTCAACTCTCAAATTCTTTAGTTCAATTATCTATCGATACATACGAATATGTGTATATGTATGACTACATTTGTGAAGGCACGCACGCATATGCATCACATATCAAGTTGATCTTTAGTTGATGATTATTTTAGTATAACGAGCAGGCCGTGTTTGGATCAAAGCAAAATAACTTTGATTCTCAGTTAAAGTTGGACTAAGGTTGAGTTTCAAATTAAATCATCAAGCTTAAACCATAATAATTTTAGAAAGATTAGTTTTGAAGTAATAATTTGATTTTACGATGAAATGGTAGATTCTTAGTGTTTATGTATAATGACTTGAAATATTACAGTTTTTACCTCACGAGAAATTGGCTCGTCTGATTCGAGCATGCGAACGACCTGACTCATCTTTGGTCGTTTCCCTGAATCTGGATCGACACATCTCAAGGCTGCAAGAAGTGCTCGTTTGAGAGCCCTCGTCGATGGCTTTGCTTCAATATTTGGATCTACCACTTCTTCGGAGCGCCGACTTCCGACCATCATCTTTAGCCAATCGACTAGATTTACCTGTGGATCCATCCATATTTAAAAGATAATGAAATGGCTGATAAGAAAAGTCTAGATATATATATAGAAGATTTACATACATACCACTTGATTCATATGTATTGACATATCAAACACCCAAACATAGAACCTTACATCTATGCCACCTTACATATGCATTCAAGTGTATTTCACTTTTTAAAAGTTCTAATAAGTAGCATTTTTGACGTAAAATCAAATATTTGAGTGGTATAAATGTAAACAATAGATTTTAGGTGTTGGATATGTAAATAGACAGGAATAGGGTGGTATTTATGTAAATGACCCTAAAAACTATCTAAATAAGTGGGAAAAAACTTTCATAAAATAGAGTTGATATGATATACAACACTCAGAGAAATCAATTGGCAACAAGAATTCATAAATAGGAAATTTACACACGTAGCACGCAATCCTTATGTATTTACATATCTCACACAAACTTTCACATTTACATGCATGGCACTTCTGCGCTTTAAAACTATGCAAGAAAAGGTATATTTCGCTTTTAAGAAGTGGTAATAATGCAATTTTTGATGTGATATTAAAGATTCAAGTGCTACGTCTGTAACTTCTATGAAAGTTTAGGTGTGACAAATGTAAATATATAAGATTTAAGTCCTATGTATGTAAATGTGCCTGTATAAACACAACTCCCAAATTGCATTCTTACCATAAAAATTATTTAAATTAGAATAGGATCCCTCAAAACCATGGCACCAGGTGACATTTCCAACTTGTGAAATATAGTTATGAACACTTCCCAAACTAAATAATGTGCACAAAAAACTTCTATTTGCATAGAAAAAATATAGCATGTGCTAACGAAGATGAGAGCTTTTTTAGAATTATAAAAAAAAAAGGGAGTTCTATGAGAAACTATGACTGAGAGAAGCACAAACTCCTTGGGAAGCACAATTACAGAAGGTGGGAATGAATGTAGCAAACTATAATGTTGATTTAGAAAATTCCATTTGTAATATGAGAAATTATGTTATGTTAAAGATTTTAAGTGGTATGCACATCAACATGAGTTTTTAGGCATTAGTTATGTAAACACATAAGAATATATGCTTAGGCGTGGAATATAAAAAATGTGTCTTTCACTTCTAAAAAGATAATTGTTGTGGTAGTCAATAATGTGACGTTAAAGATCAAAGTGGTATGCAAGTAAATATGAGATTTTAGGCATTCGATATGTCAATGCATAACAACTGTGTGGTATGCATGTAAATGCCCCTTGAAATATATGCTAAGGCGTGGAATATAAAAAATGAATATTTCACTTTTAAAAAGATAATTGTTGTGGTAGGCTTTTATGTGACTTTAACGATCTAAGTGGCACATATGTAAATATGAGATTTCAGGCATTAGATATGTAAATACATAATGATTGTGTTGGGTATGTATGTAAATGCCTCTTGAAATAAATGCTTGGGCGTAAATTTGGAATATAAATAGAAGGTTGAATTGGGATATGGTAAAGTAATACATGCATCTGAAAAAGCAAAAGACTAGCACGAGAAACATGTTTAAAATGAAAATGATAAAAATCTATGCAATTTTAAAAGCCTGATGTGAACCTTCAACGCAAGTAATGTATAAATTTTAGGGGCATTTACATACATACCATACATTTCTTATAAATTTACATATCTAACACCAAAACTTTGATATTTACATGCATACACTCAAATCTTTAACATCAACCTTACCACTATTATTAACTTTTTAAAAATTGAAATACACATTTACACACATAGGTTTATAATGCCAAAATTTTATAAATGTAAATATCAGACTATAGGGGGGTGTATTTGTTACGAAAGCTCATGGCTAAGGGCAATTTTGTCTTTTATTATATGTCACGATCACGAGACTCTACAGGCTTGTTATGTCTAGGCTTAGGGATATGCATGAGATCGAAAATTGAGTCTTAGATTTAGGGTTTGGGAGATATTTCCTAACTCTCGAATTGTAGGAACAAGGAGAGATCGCCTACCTCTCGAATTGTAGGTGCTTATCTTTTGTATTCGTCTGAGTTATTTGGATAATTGAAATAAAAATTAGTGTTTTTCCTAATTTCTTTGGAAAAACATGTCGATTTCTGCCTCTGATCATATCAAACTGGTATCAAAGCTCAAGATTATGGGAATCAGATCAGAGAATAGGATTGATTGAACTCGCAGCTTATCGTGCAAAGATTTCAGCATACAGAGCCAGAGCTGTCGCTTTCATGTGAACATCGCAAATTTTAGGTTTAAGTAAATTGTGATCCCTTACATGAAGACGCCGCACAGACAGAAGCATCTTTCTCCTCCCACTCTATCCCACATTAGAGCCACGATTTCAGCGCAAGGAAGGCAACGACGGAATCACATCAGCTAAAACTCGCACCTTTCTCCTCCTTTCACTCTGTCCTCGAGATCTAGCTGTAGTTGCCACTCCGTCTTCACAACACAATCGCGATCATTGCTTGCTAGGAAGGCAACGACAGGCTCGCAGCTTACAGAAGAAGGCAACGACAGGTTGGGATCCTTCGTTGGCTCACACTGTCATGATCGAGCCTTGTGATACAGTCACAATCAAAACTTACAGGAAATGCCACGACAAGATCTTATTGGGGCGAGACATAAGGTTTGTGATTCGACAGTGATTCAAGTTACCTGAGAAACACAAGGGATTCTAGCTTTACTTTCATCTCTATCTCACTGCACTGCATGAAATAGACTCGATTAGATCAGAATTAACGGGGAAGGCTGTGACGGAATCAAGCGTGCCCTAAATGTGTTCCTAGAAGTCAGCGACTCCGAAATCAAGCGGGCCCTAATGACAGGAGATAATGGCAGCTAAGAAAATAGATGATTTGGATAAGAAATTAGAGGAAGAGAACAACCAAATCAGATCGAGGATGGAAGAAAGATTCGCCGTCATAGAGGATAGATTTTCTTCCATGGAAAATCAAATGGGAGACCGATTTGAGAGCTTGAGAAAAATTCAAGAGATGATAAAGAAGCTTATTGAGATGCAATCCAAGACTCCGTCGACAGTTCAATTTATAAATCCTAACCAAATGTTGACTAGAGAATTCGTGGTAAGATTGAAAGGAAAAGAGATTGAACATGAGGAACATGAGGAAAACATACACCATCACGAACCCCCTCTCGGACTCCAATTAGTGGTGGATTAGCGATTTTTGATACATGCGATTGGACCAAAACATAGAGAAGAGATTATGACAGAGGTACAGAGGAGCACAGAGAATAAGGAAGAGAAGCAGAGAGGGGATATGGCTACGATCGAAGGAAGGATTTTTAACCTTGATACAAGGGGGGGAATAACAGACGAAGAGGAAGTTGTGATGGAGATGTTAGAGTTAAGAAGTTGAAGATCCCGATCTTCGAGGGAGAAGATGCGCATGAGTGGGTATATTGGGCAGAGCGATACTTCGCGGTGAATGAGTTAAATGAGGAGGAGAAACTCATAGCGACATGATTATGTTTGGAGGGGAAAGTCTTAGCATGATTTCAGTAGAGGGAGGCTAGATACCGGATGCGTTCATGGGATGAATTTAAAGATTGTTTATTGGAATGTTTCCGAGTCATTCAGGAAGGAGGCCTACAAGAGCAATTATATGCCTTGACTCAGGAGAGGGCAGTCATGTACTATAGGGAGAGATTTGAAATATTGTTGAGATGCTTATGGGGGATTTATGAAGCATGACTGAAGGAAAATTTTATGAAGGGCTTAAAACCCAACATATGGGCAACACTCCAACAACTAAGACCGCGAGGATTAAGGGAGATGATAGAGTTAGCCAGATGGAGGAAGACAAAAACCTGATTAAGAAAATCAGCAAGGGCAATTTAGTCTTATTTTATTATTATTGAGTATAAATAGGTTTGTTATGTCTAGGGTTGGAGATATTCATGAGATTGAAATTTGAAGGTTTAGGATTTGGGAGAGATTTTCTACCTCTCGAATGGTAGGAACTGGGAGAGATCATCTACCTCTAGAATTGTAGGTGTTTATCTTTTGTATTCGTCTGAGTTGCTTGGATTATTGAAAAAATAATAATATTTATCCTAATTTCTATGGAAAAGCATGTAGATTTCTGCCTCGGATCATATAAGCATGGCACTTAGGATTTATTTAGTAAGTCTGATAAATATGAATTTATCAAATCTATATGTTATTAAATCCAAAAGTGATTGATTTAGTTGACGTTAAATCCAATTAATGTGTTTAGAGGGGTTTGGCATTTTATTTGAGGATCTTATAGCAATTGTTTTCTTCCCAAGCCAGATCCGTTAAATCCACCAAAAAGGTCAGATTTAACAAATCTATATTTATGTCCAATAATAGACAGAACGGAGAGGAAAATGGATTCAACGGAGTGCTTGATTTAGCTTCTTGTTTTTTTTTTAAAAATCCAGCCATAAATCCTATCAAAGGTACGCTACCGAACACCCCTATAAGATCCTAAATATATATAAATATTTGTAATATATAAATAAATAAGATCTATTTGATATGTATATAAATATCCCTAAATTATATATCTAATAGTTAATAAACTTTATTTTGCACTTGCCATTCTTCTAATCAGTTTTATATTCGAGCAAAAATGAGAAAGACATTGAAAGCATTTCCAAATTCAAGCATACTAAATTATATAAAATTAAAGATTTACATGGAAAAAGAAACTTTAAATAATTTAAAGGTGTTTTACAAAAATTAAGGCAATAATAATGCCCCAAACTCAAAATCATACCTCTCATGAGTCTGTAAATTCTTGCACTCGACGCATTTCTCACAATCTCTACTCCCACGCTCGCTCGCTCTCTCTCACGCTTATACCCTCATTCTTTTTGGCCTCCTGAATGCAAGTATCTTTCATCTCAACTGTCCCAAAACCTAGCAAATCCAATTGAGCTCAGAATCCTTGGTTCCGTTCTCATTTCAAGCTCTCTTTTCA